CTGTTTCTCTTCAAACAAAAACTCTCCTCGCAATCGAACCTTTTGCTTTAGAAAGTTAATGAAAGTTATTTGGAGTGTTAGTAACTTGAGAATTGCCCATGTCTTCAGCTCATTCCCTTAAAAACATTCTAATTCAATCGAGACAAAAAGAAATCTGTTTCTTGAATTTGAACACTTCAATGGCACTTCTGTATTTCCATTACAAGCAGGCATGATTGTCAATCAATGGTACAGAATATCGCTCTTCCAGACTCCCATTGTCTGACCGAAATGTTAATGAGCATTGTGCGAACTTTGCAACTCACAAAAGCTGCTGGAAAGGACCCAGCCACACACAAAAACGTGAGGGGCAGCTTTATGAAGGGCTGTCTATGTGAACCACTGCAGATTACAGACCTCAGGGGTGAGCACAAAAATAGTGATTATCCATTCAAAGTTATCCTGCTGTGTGCTGGTCAGTAATGCAGTCGTAGCATTTCCCATGTGACGTCTGGCACAACTCATGGGCTTCCATTCACTCGCTTCTTTAGTCATTCTCAGGGCATCAATGGCAAGGACAACTATTACTCTCCTTCTTATTCACTCGTGCTGGCTGGACCAGCATTTATTACCCATCCCTAGTTGCCCTTGAGAAGGTGGTGATGTGCTGCCTCCTTGAACCACTGCAGTCCATCTGCTGTAGGTGGACTCACAATGTCCTTAGGGAAGGTATTCCAGGATTTTGACCCAACGACAGTGAAGGGACATATTTCCAAGTCAGGTTGGTGAGTTGCTTGTAGGGGAACTTGCAGGGGGTGGTGTTCCCAAGTATCTGCTGCCCTTGTTGTTCTAGATGAATGTTGATCGTGGGTTTGGAAAGAACACACTGCTGCTACTGAGCATCAGTGGGTGGAGGGAGAGGAAGCTTGAGGATGTGGTGCCAATCAAGCGGGGGCTGCTTTGTCCTGGATGGTGTCAAGCTTCTTGAGCGTTGTGGGAGCTGCACCCATCCAAGCAAGTGGGGAGTACTCCATCACATTCCTGACTTGTGCCTTGTAGATGATGAACAGGCTTTGGGGAGTCAGGGAGTGAGTTACTCGCTGCAGTATTCCTAGCCTCTGACCTCCTCTTGTAGCCACTGTGTTTATGTGGTGGGGGTTCAGTTGAATTTCTGGTCAATGGTAACCCCCAAGATATTAATAGTAGCGGATTCAGTGATTGTCTCACCATTGAATATCAGGGGACAGTGGTTAGATTGTCTCTTAATGGAGAGGATCATTGCCTGGCATTTGTGTGGCACGAATGCTACTTGCCACTTCCAACCCAAGTCTTGACATTGTCCATATCTTGTTGAGCTTGAACATGGACTCTTCAAGTATCCAAGAAGTTGTGAATGCTGCTGAATATTGTGCAATTATCGATGAATTCCCTGACTTCTGACCTGATGATGGAGGGAAGGTCATTGATGAAGCAGCTGAAGGTGGTCGCGCCTAGGACACTACCCTGAGGAACTCCTGCAGAGATGTCCTGGAACTGGGATGACTGACCTCCAACAACAGTGACCACCTTCCTATGTGTCAGGTATGACTCCAACCAGTGGAGCGTTTGTCCCCTGATACCCATTGATTCCAGTTTTGCTAGGGCTCCTTGATGCCACACTCAGTTGAATGCAGCCTTTATGTCATGGGCTATCACTCTCACCTCACCTCTGGAATTCAACTCTTTGATCCATGTTTGAACCAAGGCTGTAATGAGGTCAGGAGCTGAGTGGCCCTGGCAGAACCCAAACTGGGCGTCACTGAGCAGGTTATTTCTGAGCAGGTGCTACTTGATAGCACTGTTGATAACACCTTCCATCACTTTACTGATAATCGAGAGTAGACTCTCGGGGCAGGAACTGGCCAGTTAGGATTTGCCCAGAATTTTGTGTACAGGACATACCAAGGTAACTTTCCACAGTGTTGGGTAGATGCCAGTCTTGTAACTGGACTGGAACAGCTTGGCTAGGGAAGTGGCAAGTTCTGGAGCACAAGTCTTCAGTACTATTGTTGGAATGTTGTCAGGGCCCGTAGCCTTTGCAGTATCCAGTGTCTCCAAGCATTTCTTGGTATCATGTGGAATGAATCGAATTGGCTGAAGACTAGTATCTGTAATGCTGGGGACCACTGGAGGAGGCCGAGATAGATCATCCACTCGGCACTTCTGGCTTAAGACTGCTGTGAATGCTTCAGCCTTGTCTTTTGCACTGATGTGCTGGGCTCTTCCATCATTGAGGATGGGGATATTTGTGGAGCCTCCTCCTCCAGTGAGTTGTTTAATTGTCCATCACCATTCACAACTGGATGTGGCAGGACTGCAGAGCTTAGATCTGATCCGTTGGTTGTAGGATCGCTTAGCTCTGTCTATCACTTGCCGCTTACACTATTTGGCGTGCATGTAGTCTTGTTAGGTAGCTTCACCATGTTGATACATCATTTTTTTAAGGAAGGCCTGGTGCAGCCCCTGGCATGCCCTCCTGCACTCTCCATTGAACCAGGGTTGATCCCCTGGCTTGATGGTAATGGCTGAGTGGGGGATATGCCGGGCCATGAGGTTACAGATTGTGCTGGAGTATAATCCTGCTGCTGTTGATGGCCCACAGCGCCTCATGGATGCCCAGTCTTGAATTGCTAGGTCTGTGTGAATTCTGTCTCATTCAGCACGGTGAAAGTGCCACACAACATGATGGGGGTTGTTCTCAATGTGAAGGTAGAACTTTGTCTCCACAAGGACTGTGCGATGGTCACTCTTATCAATATTGTCATGGATCAATGCATCTGCAGCTAGCAGATTGGTAAGGATGAGGTTAAGTGTGTTTTTCCCTCTTGTTGGCTCCCTCACCACCTGCTGTAGACCCAGTCTAGCAGCTATGTCCTTTAGGGCCCGACCAGCTCGATCAGTAGTATTGCTTTCGAGCCACTCTTGGTGGTGGACATTGAAATCCCCCACCCAGAGTACATTTTGTGCCCTTGCCATCCTCAGTGCTTACTCCAAGTGTTGTTCAACCTGCATACCGAATCATCAGCTGAGGGAGGATAGTAGCCATTTAAAAGTCCACCATGCTAATGTGGGACTAGAGTGACAGAGTAACATCAGGAGGTTCCCCTTCCTCAGGACCATTGACTCAGTTGGATTTTTATGATAATGGTCATTTTTATAGGGCAGTCCAGTCACCTATCATTCCTGTTTTGCAGAGCTGACAGAAAGCTGAGAGCTGTTGTCAGACTAAATTAATGGTATTTTAAGCTAGGCCTGCTGTTGAGACTTGGAGGTGATCCAACCCAATAGTGTAAATTAAATACAGAAGGGTATTTGCAGTCATCAATTGAGCCAAACTTGAGCCAAGCTTCCCAAAGTGCTTTGCAGACACACAGCAGTTTCTTTAAGTGACATAAAATTGTGGCATGCTGTAAAGGTGTGTTCTCTAAGAGTTTAGAAAACAAGAGATATCCCGCTATAGCTCATATAGATATATTGCAGTCAACTGTGCCCACTCAAAACACCTGTACAATCTCAAAATTTGAATCTTTGTGAAACTGTACAATTTTACATAAGAAAGGAAACCAGATCATAAATAAATGATAACAGATCAGGCAAGCCCTGGAAGTTGGTTTACAAGCTGAAGCTCGGTGGCTGAATATAGCAGTTGGTGGGAAAAGTGCCAGTTGTGTTGTGTTTCCTTTGGAGGATTTTTCATTATAGGGGCTAGTGGTTTTTCCTCAGTGTATCTTACTAAACTACCAACCGCTTCCTCTCCAATACAGTCCCTCTCATCTAAGCCCGTCTTACCATGCGTCATTCCCGAAACAATTCGCCACTGCTGAGATATCCCGGAGTTAAACCGGAGTCTCTTGTTGCAGCTTTAAAAGTCCATTGTGCAACTAGACGAGGACTATTAGTCTCGAGCTGCCCGGCACGGTTCCCGATATTTGCTCTGGACAAGTCAGAGAAGGGAAATTTGGCACCCTGTCTTGTAGGCAGGAACCTGGAGCTCTTCTAGATCAGGCTGGTATAGATTTAGAATACGCTCTTCCCCTCTGATCTGCAGAGGATGCCATGGTATACCATGCCAGCCTGCCCTGAGGTGGCTGACCAGATCGGTGCAGCTTCAGCCAATCTGGACGAACGCACAGAAACGTAGGAAAGAAGTCAATGACCTTATCTCCAATCTGCCAAGATAAGGAGCACCAAGGCAGGCTTGCAATGCAAAAATAGAAACTGCTGGAAAAGCTCAGCAGGTCTGGCAGCATCTGTGGAGAGCATCTGTGACCCTTCCACTTGACCTGAAACATTAACTCTGATTTCTCTGGACTACTGGGGTGAGGAGAGAAATTGAATCCCAGCTCAATTCCATTTCTAAAAGAAACTACTGAGGATGAGTGGAAGGGGCTGAATAATTTCCTATTGCTCTATTCCTAAAAATGGGGAGGAAGGTAATAAAGGCTCCAAAACATAAGCAACATAATCAAATCTCGTTAGCTCAGTGACAGCACCTATTGTTCTTCAAATATGAAGAAGCAAAGGCTATCCTTTGGAAATAAGCTAACCTGAAGGCATTTTACCGTTTGCTCTCAGTGAATGTTTCAGGTTGCTAACCCTTAATGTTTGGAATTATTTGCAAAAGGCACAATGATTATTAGTGAATGACATGGTACTTTAACTGCGCAGACTGAGTTAAAGGTACGCACTACAAGTGCTGCTGTGCTTCTCCTCCTTAGTATTGGTGTTATTCTACTGAAGGTTACCTGGAGGCCTGAACAAACTGGATAGTAATGGGGTGCAGGGATATGAAGAAAAGGCAGGAGACTGGCATTAGGGAAGAGGGCTGGTACTGGCACAATGGGCTGAATGGTCACCTCCTGCACTGCCCCAATTCTGTGAACTGGGTGTGTTCCGGTGCACAGGAGAAAAACCTCAACAAGCTAGATTTTGCCTCTGCTCTGACTTTGTGTTTTGAATCATCACAAGAACACTGTACTTACCTTTTCTCAATGATGCTTGGGTTTGCAGTCACTAAGTGCGTCCTATACCCTGCGTCCTTGGTATATTCATTAGATAGAGGAGGGAGGTTACACCTGCAAAGGGAAAATAAAAACAGACGTCTTTATATCATTGAGATCTGTGAGCTCTCTATTTGTCCACACCCATGAAAAGATACTGTCTACCCTTATTTCCTGAGGTGCTTGAGGTTTAGCACACAGAGCTGCAGCCACTGGCTCGATCAGGGACGTCAGTGTTGGGTAAGCTGCCCTGCTTGCCTTTGGGCAGGTTGAAGGGCTGATAAGGTGAAAGCAGGGTACATCCCTATCCTTCCTCATCTCACAGTGCAGTGATTATCATAGAATCCCTACAGTGTGGGAACAGGCCATTCGGCCCAACAAGACCACACGGCCCCTCTGAAGAGTCTTCCACCCAGCCCCATTCCCCCACCCCTGCATTGCCCATGTTTAACCCACCTGACCTACACATCCCTGGACACTATGGGCAATTTAACATGGTCCATCCACCCTAACTGGCACACCTTTGGACTGTGGGAGGAAACTGCAGCACCCAGAGGAAACATATGCAGACACGGAGAGAATGTGCAAACTCCACACAGTCACCCGAAGCTGGGATTGAACCCGGGTCCCTGGCGCTGTGAGGCAGCAGTACTAACCACTGAGCCACTGTGTAACAAGGTCAGCCAGCTGGACCTCACAGAATATGAGTTCCCTAATTGGGGTTGTTAGTCTGGTCCAATCAGGGAGTCCTGGCTGACATGAAAGGGTGAACGTCAGGGATATGGAGCCCAGAGTGCCTGACTCAGTGAGACGCCATGCTATGGTCAAAGGCTATGCATTTGTAAATGAAGCTTGATTGGTGATGGGATGCCGATCTCTGAGGGGTTATTTCACACAGGACTATCGTTTTAAGGAAAACAATATTTCATTATTAGCTGTGAGGAATCCTAAGGTTTTTTGTCCCACTCATGCCTGGCTAGTTTCTTCATACTTTTAAGGAATCCAATGCCTGCTAAAGGGGCATGTAACAAAACATTCACAAACTTGGAACAGCAGAAGGTGCAGATTGGCTACAGTTTTATATGGATAGGCTTAATAATTCCATACACCATTAAAGCACATGCCAATTTTTAACCCTAAGCACCTAAATAATCTGATTTAGATGGACAAAACAAAAACAAAGGATAAGTGTGATATATCATGAATCTTCTCTATAACATTCATGTCCATAAGGTGTCATAGTTAAATATTGCCTTCTATACTACTGCTCCTGTCACGTTAGTCTGTAAACTATTGGGTCTGATGATTATTAAACAATGACCATTAAAATAGTAAAGACTTCACAGCCAAACTGGTGGGCATACATCAGGAAACATCAACATTGCTTTACAATTATAATCTACAATTATAATCTACAATTATAATCTTAAAATAGGATAAAGTGTCAAGGTGCTCAATAAAGGTTTAAGGACTCAGAGCTAACGATATTCTGAGGGGCTGATAAGGTGGACATTGATAACACAGTGTAGAGCTGGATGAACATAGCAGGCCAGGCAGCATCAGAGGAGTAGGAAAGCTGACGTTTCGGGTCGGGCCCCTTCTTCAGAAATGGGGGAGGGGTAGGGGGCTCTGAAATAAATAGAGAGAGGAAGGATGGGGCTGGGGAAGGTAGGTGGGGTGGTGATAGGTGAGTGCAGGTAGGTAGTGGTAGGGATTGGTCAGTGAGGTGGGAGGAGCGGATAGGTGGGAGAGAAGACGGACAGGTCAAGGAGGCGGAGATGAGAAGGAGGGCTGGTCATGGGATGAGGTCGGGGGTGGGGAGATTTTGGAGCTAGTAAAGTCCACATTGAGACCATTGGGTTGTAGGCTCCCAAGGCGGAATATGAGGTGCTGTTCCTCCAGTTTCTGGGTGGCGTCATTGTGACACTGGAGGAGGCCCAGCATGGACATGTTGCCCAGGGAGTGGGATGGGGAGTTGAAGTGGTTCGCGACTGGAAGGTGTTGTCGTTTGTCGTGAACCAAGTGCAGACGCTCTACAAAGCAGTCTCTGAGCCTCTGTTTGGTCTCACCGATTTAGAGGAGGCCACATCGGGAGCAGCGGATGCAATAGACCACATTAGCGGATGTGCAGATCAAACACTTACTTAAAAAGATGAGTTTCATGGTCGGATTGAAAGGAGGAGACGGAGGTAAACATAGTCAAGAGCTGAAGGGAGGGGTTTCCAACATCAAAAGTCAGATGGTGTGAGAGTTACGCACAAGGTAATGATGAGTCCATTAGGGAAGACAATGCAGAAATTACTGATAGCATAAGAAACATGAGATTGAACGTTGTAGATTTATGACTTTGGCACATCAGGAGTCCATGGAGGCGAGTGAGGACAAGGATGACGCTTGAATAGGACAGGATGTGAGTTACAGTAGAGGCAGCAGGGTTTCAGACTGACTGCATTATACACAGGGGCAGGGGATGAGAGACCGGGGAGAACAGCATCAGGCTGTCTGGAGACCACACTCGCATGGATGGGAGCTTCAACAATGGATGGAGTGAGGTGGGGTGGGGATGATTATGCTACAAAAGTGGAAGTAGATTTATCTTTGTGACAGAGAAAGTTTGGATTTCGGAATTCAGCTCGGGATCGTCCAGGTTGCACACAAGACGGTGCCACCTAAAACCGCGGCCTGTGAGGCTAAAACAATCAGTGTTCAACATAAGGAGTAGATGGAGAGCCCAAGGTTTCAGTCTTCCCACTTGATTAGCTGTTGACACAAGGCTGATATGCTGGCAGGAACATTAGAAGCTACTCTTAGCTGGGGTTCAAGCAGTTCTGAATGACTACGAATGATCCATGGCCATTTCCGAGAACAACTTAGAAAAGGCCTAAACAAAAACATTTATTTTTTGTGCAACGTCCCATGGTGCTTCACACAGTAAGATTATCAAGTAACATAATGCTGATCAGCACAAGGAAACAGAGGGATGGATGACTACAAGTTTGGTCAGAGTCCTAGGTTTTAAGCAGCGTTATGAAGGGAGAAAGAGAGAGGTAAAGCTCAGTGAGGAGTGGGAATGACAGAAGGACCCCACTGAGCAGGGAGTGTGCAACAACTGGCAGGGAGTTACTGGGAACTAGTGACAACGGCTTTCTCAACACATTGCATGCTAGGTTCAGCTGAGAATGAAGGAAGCCACATGTTATTACAGTTGTTCTTTTATTTCGATTATTCTTAACTGAGGAAAGAGCATTTCACAGCTTGCGCTGGGGAGTGGTGGTAAGCAGCTAACAGCCTGGATGCCAATGGTGGGATGATGTTTTACAAATTTGATTAAACTTGGGGAATTGCAAGTGGGGGGAGTGGGACATGACAACAGAAAGTTAGAGGCAGGGCCTGGCTTAAGTAGGTCCAAGGCTTCTTTGATCCAGGGATCAGTGAACAAAATATCTGATGTCACCTGGTTACTCAATGGTGTAAAAGCCATTATAGAATCACTCGTTTCGCTTTTTGTGCATCTGCTGTTTAAATGATCAGCTGTAGCTGACATCCAACACTGGTAACTGCCTTGCTACTCTCCTGGGAATAACGATAAGGTCTGGGCTGCTATCACCCAGGATAGCCTTGATTCATGACATTCAGTGCCACCTATAAGTGAAGACCAGCGAACACTATGCCCATAATGGAGATACGGGCCACATGCTCACAACCAGTCTTTGATCAAATATCCATCAATCGACCCTTTCCAAATTTGCAGATGATTAGATCTTTTGGCCAGGTGATATTTGTGAAAGCTTATCATTTGAAGATAACATGAGGGCACACAGAGGGTGGTGGGTGCCTGGAACTCGCTCCCGGGGAAGGTAGTGGAAGCAGATACTATAGTGACTTTTAAAGGGCGTCTTGACAAATACATGAATAGGATGGGAATAGAGGAATATGGTCCCCGGAAGGGTAGGGGGGTTTTAGTTGTGACGGGCAGCGTATCGGTGCAGGCTTGGAGGGCCGAAGGGCCTGTTCCTGTACTGTAATTTTCTTTGTTCTTTTTTTGATGTGGTGGCATCTTTGCCCAATCTCCACAGATCCAAAGCGTGATACTGAAATGACTGTTTGCATTGCCAGCTGATCTTAAGGTGATTAGTTTTTCTCCTTTGTTTGCCCTGGTTTGACTGAAGGTGAATGGTGTCGAATCTGTGCTGACGAAAAGGGAGACACATGAGTGATATTAATTTCACTTGGGACATACAACTGGCACTTTCATAGACTGTCATCATAATCATCAGGCATGTATTGTATGATTGAAATGTGCACCTTTCTCCATCGTGTGACTTGCTCTATGCTGCAAAACTTTGGAGTCCAAAACATTTGTAATATAAAGAGCTGACATTCAAGTTTCTCCACTGCACACCCACTTGATCAACCACTGTGACTATGTTGTAGACATTGTGGATGCAAACAGGAATTCTGTCTTTTACTCAGTTTGAAGTTTCTTATTTAGTTTGAAGACCACAATGCGGCCTGCACTTTCCTTCCTCATGTTAACCATGCATGTACATGAACCATGTTGCGTATGCCACCTGCTCCATTCAACCAGTTAGTGGAAGCTGGACAATCAAGAAACTAAGGAGGGAATGGAACCTTTAAATGATGCCTTGAATTTTCCATAACCTTTCTCAATTCAGCCAAATTTACTTTGCCAAATTGCCAAATGAGAAAAAAAATACAAAATGCCACTTTCTGGTATAGACGTCACCAGAATCAATTGTTTTGCATGCTCCTTCAGGAATTTCTTCAGGAATCCAAATTAAACAAACAGTAGTACAAAGAGTGAAGGGCAGATTTGATGATTAAAACATCCAAAGTAAGCCGTAGTTTTTTAAAAATATCCTTTACCGTCTTTTTCATACAGATGTAAAACAATGCCATGCTAACTTGGGAACACAGACTTTAGCTTTTAGAAATAAAAGGTCACTTTAACCACACAGCATTGTAAAAGTCTAGGTGCACAATAGATAAGGTGATATGGCAAATTTGGCCATTTGCTCTGGAAAGTCTAAGGCTGGGATTTTCCATTTTGTAGC